TGATCTTTAGTTTCTAGCTACTGGTAAATCCAAACACCTCTGGCTGTTTGTTGTTTGAAGGTAACTTCTTGATGCTTATTTCCAGTTAAATATTTTAAACAGGTCACTATTTACTACTAACTCTGCTGTTTGCCTGCTTTCTGTAGGAGATTTAATTCAGCTCTGGGTGTAACCAGTACAGTCCAAAGACCTTCCCTGTCTTTGATAACTTTCACTGTAGAAATATAAATTAACCACTTCATTACTGAGAAACCAGTGTTATTAAACAGCCTTGCTAGTACTTTGCCGTATGCTAAGCAGCACTGCTACATAGGTTTTTAATAGGAGTAGCTTGTTTGCCAGTTGGGACCTTATGTGCTATTACAAATTATTTACTCATTCATTAAACACGCATGCATGTACACCCTCCCCCCCCCCACACACACACCTTATTATATATCATGTGTGATGGTATATGCTTCCTGTCTAGAGGACATTTCTTTATTATATTGATAAATCTCTTCATATACAAATTAATTTCCTTTTTTAGAATTAGTGTCTCATGAACATCTGCACCAACAAAAAAAGTGAGCTTGGGCAATGCATTTCTATATGAAGAACTTTCAGCAGCTGCTTTAGATAAAAGACCAGTCAGATTAGAAGAGCTAGACAATAACAATAAAAGAGAAGCATATATAATCTCTTGTAATAAAAGCTGGAGACTATGTCTGAATTAACATTTACTGCAACCTGATGCTCAAGTCAAGTCCTTTGTTGCATCTACATCTGGTCCCACCCAAGATTCCTATTAGCAACTGTAAATCTACTTGACAAAGAAAAGCGCATTCAGCATCTCTCTCAGCATTTTAAATAAGAAGCTTATTGCCTCTTTTTCTAGTACTCAAAGCATATACTAATTAACTCCACAATGTTTGATTGCCATTAATTGATACCAGATAACTACTAGTCATCAAAATTAAGTGGCAGAACTCTGTTTTCAGATCCCCGGGGTGGATCTGGACTGCACCCATGATAACTGCACATATACTGAAGACAACTGGGTTTACTTATGTTGCTACTTGTGCCTTTTATGTCCTATTAATACTTCTTAGCAAATAAGCACGTCTGCCTGTACTTCTGGAATGGAAATATCCTCAACACAAATCTACTAGCCCAAAATTAAGCCATTCAGAGCACACTTAAAACATTAACAAATACCTTTTTTGCCTTGCCTGGCTTCCCTTCTCCCCATCTCAGGCCCTATTGTATTTCCATTACTTATTAAAAATAGCTGATAGTACTGTCAAATCAGTAGGATTAACCTACTTTAAAAGGAAATTAGGTCAGTTACTATTTCATGCCCAGCCTGTAACACCCATTTATTATTTCATTCTCTCATGTACAACAAAATGGCCAACTTCCTGCAAAACATCCAGATCTGTGTAACAGAGACCATTTATCCCAGACTTAAAAATGCAACAAGGAAATAATTAGAAAAGCCTAGTCTGTGTCACAAACACTGTACTAGCTACCACAGAAATGCTGTATCATGCAGTTCCTCTGTCAGTGCTGACAGCATTGACACTCTAAGCAGCAAAGTAATTTGATCCACTCCCACATATGCTTTCTTGTACATCCACATTTCTTCCATTTCCCATTCAGCCACATGCATTGTGCAGCTAGCTCAAAGGATTCTACTCTCTGAAACAAGCTGCATATATGCAAGTATAGTTTGCACTGCAAATAACTAACACCCCCTCACAAGATCCTTGCAATATGATCAGACTGAATGAATCCTCCCACATGGGCTGTAGCCAGAAGAGAATAAAGTTTTAGTTGGCTGTTAATAAATAACCCATTAGCAGGCTGCTTGTTATGACTGATGCAGACCTGTGCTCCCTGCAGACCACCACAAAACTGGTTCCCTGAGCAATTATCTAGGTTATCTCCACCAAATCTTCTAGTTTGATTATTCAAAGGTCCATCCAAGCCCAGATGAACCATCACAACAGTGTGGTTAGCACAATGGCTTTCAAGGGCATACAAGGGAGTGATATGGTCAGCACCAGATCAACCACCTTCAAAGCCAAATGACCAGGTACCCATTTCCAGCTAAGTCAGCAGAGGGCATCTTTCAACATGAACCTCTAGTGTGCCTTAACCTCACATTTCAGCAGTTGTAGTGCAACGTCTTAACCATACTTCCACTGCACCCAAACCATCTCAGCTGGTTCTCCTAAACCTGCCCCAACTGAAACAATGCACATTTTAGCTGAAACACTGCTAACAACAGTGAAAATGCACATAGCAAAAATGGTACATTATTCATTGTAGGTAGAGACAGTACAGACACATATGTTCACAAATGTGAGAAGGTTCTACCAGCTGTTGTGGCCCCCAATAAGGGAGCAGAGGCTGCTACTAGATGCCAACACACTGAATGAAATGGAACTTAGGAAGTCCTAGAAAAGTCCTGTGATTAAACGCTGTACATACTGTGTTCCCAGCACATAATCATCCTTAATGCTCCAATGGCTCTGAATTTAGTAGTTATGAAAACAAAGGACACACAGTATTTAGGGAAGGGAGCAATTTTGCAAGTTTCCTGAAACTGTGTCACCAAACTTCAGCCTAGCTATCAAAGCTAGAGCAGCTGCATGCAATTCTTTTATTTGCTCTAACTGATAATCTTAAGTGAGTTTTTGGCTCTCATCTATGCATGACTCAAGGCTATACTAATTTAGGTGTTAAAAAGTCAGTGAACTAAGCTTCTGTCCATTCAGACTGCTTTCCAAGACCTGCACTGGTTGCCCTCTGCTTTTTTTTTAGCTGACCCATTTCTCTTTATTGCAACACCTAGGTAAAATAGCAGCTCAGGAACAACAACTGTTCATTTATGCAGGCCAGACTATCATGCATTAGACAAAACAGCTCATCCCACATACCTTATACATGCAAAAAGCATGACTTTCAAAAAGCCTGAGGCAGAATTGATTTAAGCTGCAATCAATATATCAATATATATATATCAATCAGCATATATATTTCCTGTAGGCAACATAGTTAAGACTGGTAGCAAACAGAACACAAGTTTGCCCTTTTTTTTTTTTTTTTTTTTGGGGGGGGGGGGGGGGGCGGCAAATCTTTGGCCGGGTTCTGCCATTTTTAAATCAGTCTGTGGCCATTTTTAAAACCAGATGTTCTGTTACAGGTATAGACAGCTTTCCAATCACTTATACTGGTAAAAGTGTAATATCTGTACCTGGCCAATAATGTATGCAACAAGAGCTGCAGGGCTAAAGCTCACATCTGCAACTCCCAGCAAAACTTAATGTCTGCTCCTGCTTTTATACTGACATTTCCCTATTATGTAAATTTTAACTTTCCATAGATAAAAGAATTAGGCTGAGCTGTAAGTGACTATATGCCAAGAAGAAGGAATTGTCTTGCCACATGTCTACTGCACTATGGGGAGAGAAGAAAGGGGAGGGGGTGGAGTTACTTTGTTACTCGTCTCTATTACTGTCCCTAAAGAAAAGGGAAAAAAGATTATTATATGGAAGGAATAATGCTTTATAGTAGCATACAGCTTAACTACTCAACAACCTGTACCTAACAGAAACTATTTAAAATTACAAAATAAACTACCTATTGCTTTTCTGTCTCCTACCTACTGCTTCCAGCTCATCTATAACCAGCCTCCGATCATAAAGAGGCTTGTGTACAGGGAAAGGCCAACAGAAAAAGTAGTCTGAAATGGCATTAATTTCTCTTTACCAGCGAGTCATGCTTACCACTTCCTGCAATAATTTTTCTCTTTCTGGGTTAATCATAAGTGCAAAGACAGACAGGAAATACAATTTTGCTTTCTATCCAATTGCTGCCATTTTCTGCATGCCTTTTGTTAGAGCTGGTACAGAACCAACCACTCAAATGCAGTAAACATGAATGGAGAGAAGCCTCAGTTCTCAAAACATCTCCATTATTCCTCAGCAGGCTGCCTTCAACAGATGGCACAGGAAATCTTTTCAGCTTAAAAAGGTTCATACCAGGCAAAGAAAAAAGTATAAGCAGTCCCTAGCTTATACGTGCACAATAAGCTCTTTTCTGCTATGAGCTTAACTTACGTGAGTTGAGCAAGACACTCACAGCTATTAAATTACATTTGATGTGGTCATTACTACATCTGCCCTGCCTATCTTGCGCTGGCCTAGACAGCCCTGCATAGCCTAGCACCATCCCAAGAGACATTTTTTTTTTCTTTAGAATTCTACCAAGCTGAAAGCAGCTACTTAAGACAAAGCTCTTTATGAGCTAATTTCAAACTGCAGCTGACCAAACATTTTATTTTCTCTCTGGAAGACAGACCTGGAAACAGCATATATATTTCTCTGGTGTTGTAGGTTTGAGAGAAGCCAATGACAGGAAGCTTTAAGCAACATGCAGATAAAAATGGCATGTTTTCACCTTGTTTAGCACATAACATATGAGCGTGTTGTCCAATAACACCACAAAGCACTGCTACAAAAGACAAGTTCCACACTGAAGTTGTGTTGCAACTTTGTTAGATTTCATTTGTAAATGGAAGGAGACAGATGCCAAATGCAGTTAAAATGCAACTCTAAAAATAATTATTTCCTTTAAAAAAACAACTAAACAAAACAAAACAGTACTTGCCAGCATCTACATCATAATAATTCAGCTATAGCTGAGCATCTTCATGGTGTAACAGAGGCTCATTTTAAATTTTTAAAAAGGTACATTAACTCATCAAGCCACCTCCCCAATTTTCATATAATCAAATTCAATGATTTATTATAACAGAACACTATATCCTGGTCATTTTCCTACTTAACAGGAAAATGTAATTGACATTCACTTGAAACATTTTAGATAACCTAAACTTGAAATCATCTCTTCCAAATATGCTGATATACATTCTGTATTGCTTCTTACAGCTAATGGAGTCTATTACTTTCATATACACACAAGGGATAACAGGATTTTCAGTTGTTCTTTACCTTGTAGCAAACATTGCTCTCAGAGAAGAGAAGGTAGCAGCATCTTCTTTTAAAGCCTTCAGTTCATTACGTAGCTTCATCATGGTCTCCGTAACCATAGCCTTCTCATTTTCATACTTGCTTTTTAAGTTGGCAAGGGCTACCTCTGCAGTCTATTGTTTACCGAGAAGAACAGAAAATGTACTAGTTAATGAAACTCTTCATAAAGCAGTTGGCCAAGAAGTTTTTATCTCCATTCACTTAATGGAACATTTACTTAGCACTGAAATGTTAACTTCTAGTTAACTACAGGGTGAATATAACGGATCTGAGAATACTGTAAACACAGCAGACAGATTCTGTTCCCAGTAACTATGTAGCACTATGGCCATTAACAGGAGGTCATTTCTACTCCTGGAAATTCCTGAGAAATTTCCTCCAGTAGAAATCTTTCCATAAGAGCTAGTGTACAGGCCTTCAGTCTGCAGCTGCCCTGTCTCCCCTGCTCTTCATACCTTCATCAGACCAGAGTCCTAGTTTGGGGAACAGGTGAAGGGGGGCAAGGAGCAGCTGCTCCTCCAGCTCCACTTCCATCACCAGCGGGAGACCAAGGAAACAGCAGACAATCCTTCACCTACTTCTCAGATCAGGAACCCCAGTCTGAAGAGTAGACAGAGAGTAAGGAATGGCTGCTTGGCTCCTGGGCACTGGGAGCTGAGCAGACATAGCAGTGCAAAGCCCTCCATCTACTCTCCGAATCAGTCTAAGGAGTGGATAGGGAGCTTTGCCACACCTGCTCCAGTCCCCTCCCGGACCAGTCCCAAGGGGACTGGAGCAGTGTGGCAATGCCCCCCACCCATTCTCCCAACCAAGCAGTCCCTGACCTGGGGAAATGTGGAACATTGCCTCGATTCTTCACTTCCCTCCTAAATTGGACCAGGAAGGGAGCATACAAGTAAGTAAGTGTTATGCTCTTGTGAGAGAAACTTTGCCAGGAAGGGCATATTTGCCCCTGAAGAAACTACCAGGGGCACAGAGAATCTCCTAGTAGCATGTAGGCTTCTTACAGATGTAAAAAAACAAACAAACATACAAACAAAAACCAGCACTTTATTTTAAACTCTGTACTCTCTTACACTGAACCCAGTGCATGCCCAGAGAAGGCATCTTGTTAGTTGGACCTGGCTCCCCAACATCTGTATAGATCAGATGCTTCAAAGGGGATTTTATGGTGGTTTTATCTAATAGTCAATTTAATCAACTATTAGATAGAAGTGCCAAAAAAAATCCCAGCTGAAGTGCCCAATCTATACAGAGGCTGTGGAACCAGGTTGAACTAATACGCTGCTTTTTCTGGTAAAGCACATTTTTTTGTTTTCCCCCACATCTGTCAGTGCCTGTAATGCCTTTATGTGTCCTATGTCTTGGTCATCACACTGCAGATACTGAGTCTATTGTACATATATGGCCAGCACTTACGCTGAGTCAAATAACAGGTTCTCTCATAATACCATTATTACTATAAATAAATAGGGACTGACAACTTATTACAAGATTTTGGAAATAACAGTACAGATAGCTTCTACTCTGCACCAACTTTCGGGGGGGACACACAAATATCCAGATAGTATAGTTAAAATCATACACGTAAAATGCCTCAAAAGTATAAATCTATTTCTCAGACAACACATTCGATAAATGTCTATTTTAACTTTTGTAATTAGAGGTCATTTTGAATTTGCATCACTAACTTGAGTTGAAATGTAACAAACCATTTCTTACATGGCACTCTAGAATCATCTGATCATAGTCATTCTAATTTGCTGCTTTGCTACTGTGCATCAATGTCACAGTTCAGTCTACAAAGCTTAAAGATGCTTTAATTCTGGCATGTAGTTCTTACAGAAGACTGAGTTTATTATTATTGTTGGAAAGGGAGATGTACATCCTTAAAAATGAAGTATGTTTTTTAATCCTATTAAGAGGCCAGCTAATATAAATTCCTTTAAACTGAAAATAATTCTTGCTTTTTCAATGGCTAAACAGTCAGCTTAAGTTGCTTAAGTTGGTACTTGTTCAACTTGCCCAGATACCTCTGCTAGAGCACTTTATTACTGATCTGTAATACCCTGCTATTCCAATTGTGAGATGATAACAGTGTTACATTATGTAAGAGTGTATCTGTATTCAAACTTTTCATAGATTTCATAGACATTAGGGCCGGAAGGGACCTCGGAAGATCATCCAGTCCAACCCCCGCCCAAAGGGCAGGAAGTCAGCTGTGGTCATAGGATCCCAGCAAGATAAGCATCCAATTTGCTCTTCAAGGTGTTCAATGTAGGTGCCTGAACCACCTCCGATGGCAGGCTGTTCCAGACCTTGGGGGCTCGGACAGTAAAGAAATTCTTCCTTATGTCCAACCTGAAACGGTCTCGCAGTAGTTTATGACCATTCGACCTCGTCATCCCTTGGGGCGCTCTGGTGAACAAACGTTCCCCCAGATACTGGTGGTCACCCCTGATAAACTTATAGGTGGCCATCAGATCACCTCTGATACTGCAAGATTAAGTTAAAGTTTTGTCTCTGGACTATTCAGTCTCAAAACCTCTCTGATCCGACAACAGTTTGGTCCCAAATCTAAATATATGGGACTAAATCTTATCCCCATGGATGCCAGGCTAAGTTTTGCCATTCACTTCAATGATTCTAAAAAGCGGTCAAATCAAAATGCAGCACCACAACCAAATTTTCTTTGAATTTTCTTGTTCATGAGGTAGGCTCTTTAAAACCATACTTCACCTCCATGAAACCTCCTTACCTGCTTGTTGGCCTTTAGCACAGTCCTCAGAGTTGCTATCTGTTCTCTCTTGGTACTTAGCAGGGACTTCAACTTGAGAATTTCCTCCATGAGCGCTTCTTTGTCTTTGTCCACTACTGGCCCAAGTTCTTGGGTGGCAACACACTGCCTGGACAATTCAGTTGTTCTGTCTACTGCAGCCTGCAGATGTTTGATCTGATCACGAATTATAGCAATCAAGTTGTAAATGTTCATTGGTTCCTTCCGAGGATCTGATACTGGAGATGGGAGGGATGATACTGGAGATGGACTGCTATCACTGCTTCCATTCTCTGCCTTTCCTAACTCTATAGATAACAACCCTTTCGAGAGCAGGATGGGCGACCTTCGACCTTTCCCTTCTGGACTACTACGGCCTCCTTTGCCCTCTTTGTAATAATCCAGCATCACTCGGTTTGGAGTTTCATTGTTACACATGCAAACATGGTGGTATAAATTGGCCAATTCCTCACTGAAAGTGACTAGCTCATCTTGCGCTACACTGAGACTGCCCTGTGTTTCTCCAGCCACATCACTTACTTTCTTCAGTTCCTTCTCCAGTCTGGCTACCTGTTCTCTATCATGCCGGCTAGATTTTTCTAACAAAGTGATCTTTTCAGTAAGAGCCTGGCTTTCAGTTTCATACCTGTTCTTCTCTTCCTCATATTTAGACTCACACTCTTCATATTTGGCCTTAAGATTTTTCAGCTCTTCCTTCAGGTCACTAATCTCTGCCACAGCTACTTTGTACTTGCATTCTAGTATTTCTGGCCCATTGATGTCAACTTCATAGTAATCCCCATCTTCATGGCTGTCCCGTTCCTTCTCATTGTCTAGAGCAGACTGACGTTCCTTGCTGACCTGGAGTTTCTTCATTGCATTGAGGTTCTCAGTGAGCCTACCAACTTTTTCGTGCTGCTCAGAAAGGGCTCCACGTGTATTCTCTAGCTGTTTCTGAGATTCTTGGAGTGTAGATAACAAATTCACTTTTTCTCTTTCCATCTGAAATAAAGGCAGGTATTAATATATTGGAAACATGTTTACAGAAGTTTCCTTTTGCAATGGGAGAAAAGAGTTAATACGCAACAAAACGTTATACAGCTACAGAAACCTTTCCACTTACACTTTATGGAAAAGCCAGCTTCACTTGCATTAAACCCAAATGCTTCTGCATTTTAAGATGGTTCCCACATTTATTATGTGTTCTCAAAAAACACCTTTCCTGCTCTAGCTTCCTCTTCTCTACTTAAGCCACATGGCAAAATCACCATCCTTTTACCCTAGAAGATAAAAATCCCCCTGCCCTAAAATAAATAAATAAATGATAAGTATATGGAGCCAGAAAATAGCAGCAGTTTGATGTAGAATTCTCACCCCCTGATTATATTCTGCTATCAACAAAAAAAAGGAAGGAAATTAAATTCTGTCTCCACCTAGCAGAATACCAAACCTTCAGGCAATTCCCACAGCTTGTACAAATGGCTTTTCTCTTTCTGAAAAACGTATGTACTAAATTGGTTGAAAGTTATTTCTTTATGGGGAAGGAAGTCCCTCATTTTTAGGTCTTTCCCCTCTTTTTCCACTTCAGAGGAGAACAGAGGGGAAATAAAATGAGACACCACTTCCTTGCTTCTTTACTTTTCTCCCTGTAGATGGGGAAGAAAGTGTTGCACTTAGAGAGAGAGAGAGATATATACACACATGAACAAGTAGAAAAAAATTACACTTTAACTTTTTCAAATTTTTCTAATTTTTTGGTGGGGTAGAAAAAAATAAATTAAAATATGAAATGCCAAAGGGGGCAGACAGAGAATAGCATTTCTCCACAATTACAGAACAAGTTACAACATAAATGAACTTTTTTTGGTTTGTCTTTGTTTGTTTGTTTTACTGTTTCCACCAAAATTTCTCTTTTTGGGAAAAAAATTAGTTAAAAACTCATTTTTCCACATAATATTTTAGGGGCAAATCCCATTATTTTAATTACAAGTTTCCATAAATACTACTTCAATGACTTCTAGGTAATTCACATGCTTGCCTTGTTTTATACACTTCAACACTGTGGAGTTGATTATTAATGCAGAAAGCCCAAGTGGCATAGACCCTTAAATAATACTGGATTTGGCTTTCGTACAACCATGAATTACACTCAGTACAGTCTAATTCTAGGTTGCCAGTTTTTAAGGCTGGGACCATTTCTTTGTACACATTTGTACAGAGCCTAGCATAATAGAGCCCAAATCTAGGGGTTCACTGATAGATTTTATTTGGTCTGATACTGATGGCTGATATCAATCTGATTGCCAACATGCAGCAGGGCAGCTTGGAGACCAGCATCCAGCTGGTAAGTCTATTGTGG